GAGAAGGTGAGGGAAGCAAGGTTGATATGGTATGGACACGTAATAAGAAGAGATGAAGGAGAGCTGGTCAGAGACATTATGGAATGAAGAAATCAGAATATGTGGGGTGGTAGACATTGCAGAGAAGGTGAGGAAAGCAAGGTTGAGATGGTATGGACATGTAATAAGAAGAGATTAAGGAGAGCTGGTCAGAGACATTATGGAATGAAGAAATCAGAAGATGTGTGTGGTAGACATTGCAGAGAAGGTGAGGAAAGCAAGGTTGAGATGGTATGGACATGTAATAAGAAGAGATGAAGGAGAGCTGGTCAGAGACATTATGGAATGAAGAGATCAGAAGATGTGGGGTGGTAGACATTGCAGAGAAGATGAAGGAAGCAAGGCTCGCTAACCTTCGATATCGCTCTTTCCAGCACCGCTTCCAATTGAGGAACTTCTATCGAACATCCTTCAGCGACACTCACGGCATTATGTTCCTGGTGTACTTCACACCCCCGACATATAGTCTCTTCACACGACCGGCAGTATTGCTCCACTACATTATCTTCGTGAGCAGGACAAAACACGGCACGGTTCTGACCGCGAATTACCAACTCCTCTTCGAATTTATCTAACGGTATCAAGTTATGGGCACGTGTCAGCTTCGTGTTCTCATGGCAGTAAACACATGCATTGCACAGGTACTCCATACACTCTTTACAATACTTCAAAAGTCGATTTCCGGCCGAGCAATTGCCACAAGTAATATCCCCTTTCTGAAATTCTTTGAGAAGCGACGCTGCCATGATGTTTGCGAAAAAACAATTCTGCCGCATGGCTTTGATACTTGATTTCTGTTCGCAATTTTTACAGATAACGCTGTCTTTGTCTTGATTTTGTTTTCGAAGGCATTCACGACAAAACGTATGAAGACATTTTAAGATATACGGTTCTCTGAAGTGCTCGTTACACAGCGAGCACCGAAGTGTTGTCGAGTCTTCCAAGTCCATCTCGGCTCCCATTCCAAAGATTCTAGCTTCCCTGATACAGTAACAACGTTGAATACGAACTGATATTGAATATATTCATTATTTTGTCGTGTTACTGTATGGAACACCTGCAAAATTGCCCTCGTTAAATATTCATCAGTATATCCCCTCCCTATTTGCTATTATTGCTCTCGAGAACATCGGCAGATGTTAGTGTAATCGACCACAACTCATAAGTAATTATTGCCATAATTGGTTAACAAGCATCTGAAGAACAGCAAAATATTAGTTAGGTTTTATCAAGTTCAATATTTCGTTGCGAGGTTTACTATTGGAAGATAAAAGGATTACAATACATATTGTGTAGACGCGTGTTATATATGGATCTCCTTTGTCTCACTAAAAGCAATGCAAATATCATTATATACGACAGTATGATATATAAGTTTTATTTGACAGGTACACTTTAAAACTGCGTTACAAATGCGATTTTTTCCTCGCGCCCGAGTTAAATTAAAACGTTTTACAAATCAAAGTTCCAAATAAACGATTTCTTGTCAAAACGCAACGAGTTAAATTAAAACGTTTTACAAATCAAAGTTCCAAATAAACGATTTCTTGTCAAAACGCAACGAGTTAAATTAAAACGTTTTACAAATCAAAGTTCCAAAATAAACGATTTCTAATTGTCAAAATGTAGCGCTCTTAATTTTGGACACAAGTTTAAAAGTTTGATCGCTGTTACATGTGTGAAAAAAAGACCTATATAAAATGCGTTATTATATGTAAGTGTATGAATTTGTAGTCAATTTGTGGCTGTGTAAACACTAGAAACGACGTTTTCGAGAACTGATTTCGCCACGAAGATATCTACACTGTATTCAATTTGTCCATGCATGTGGCATGATCTGTTTGATATGAACATGTGAAAATGATGAGAATGCTCATTGTAAATTTTGCCACCTAAGAAATTCCGTTCAAAGTCCTGATAACTGTATATATGGCCGCAACTTTTAACGAAGATTTTTAATAACTGCTATAGAACCACTGCGTTAACTTATCTTTAAAAGCTGTAAAACAACGATCACTGCCAATAAAGACTGCTGCAGTGTTTTGAATTCACCTTTCACAAACGCTTGTCGTGTAAACTGGCCTTAAATAATGTATTACTATTAGATAAATTAGTAATTTAATTGTAGCCAGGTTACACGAGGGAATTTTCCATCAAACACACAAATTGAATTGTTAAAGACAAACGGATTGCCTACCTTTTAAGCCATGGCTCATTTCTGCCTAAAAAAGCTCGGAAAGACGAATTATGAGCTCCTGAGAAAATAACTAAAGGCCATGGTTACAACGAGCAGCAACTTTACAATTTTGGATACAAAGGGATGACGGAGTCATTTTTGTGTGCTATTTCGGCCAATTTATAAGCCTGGTTTTAA